TAAGTACCTATTATAAATCATTTTGACTCTCTTTTCAAAAATGTTTGCAAGTATTAACTGTTGAGAACTGATTTATTCCACTGAACTAGAACTGATTTTTTGTTTCAAAAAATTCTTGCTCCAAGAAAATAATAAAGCCTCATTGGTATAATACGCAGTAATACAAATATTCAAATTATATTTTCATAACAATGATTAACTAAAATCACAGCAAAGGCGACCAAACAGGGTGTACCCGACCTCGACCTACTTCGAAAAAATATGAGGAAAAAACATAATAATTTAAATAATTATTGGGAGAAAAGTATAATAAAATCTTTGGTGTGCTTTGTGGGTTATGTGTTTTAAGGATCGATTTCTGATTGAAGAGAATAGGTTACTGAGTTTTTTATATGAGATCTATGGTTTATTGCACCAACTATTCTTAAACCATCTCTTTACTTTGAGTTACTTAGACTAAAGGACCACCCACTTATACAATTACTTGTGTGGATGATCGAGATTTTTATGAAATCTATGGCCGTTTTCACCCTGGTTCATTCAAACCATCTTTTAACCAAGAGTCACTTATCGTGAGAGGTCTTATGTGGCACTTATAGGTTGGTGAAAATCAAAATATAGTTAGTGCCCCTTTTCTTAGCTTAGGGGATCCTTAAAATTTAGTCGACGTTGGTGAAAACCTCGTGAAAACAGTCATGATACTGAAGTAGATATTTGATATTCTATTTTCTGTAATAATTTTATTTAGGGAATATTTACTTTATTAATGTTCTCGGAAGAAATCTTCCTTTGTTATGAAACCACTGAAGGTTCCCAGAAATCCTAAATACTTCACATCTTCCCTATAAAGTAAGAAGTTGGAAAATTATAAATTTTCAAATTAAACAAAGAAGTTTTCATGGTTCTGGTGTTAACATTGAATAACGTATTTTATTTTTCTTTTCTCCAAATTTTTACTGCTTTGTTAGCGACCAGCGCGACACCTGAGCAGAAGGTTTGACAACAAATTGAAAAAATAAAAGGTAATAAAATTATGCCCAAATAGGATAACAGACGGAGAATGAAAGTTGTAACCTTAGTCAAAATTCACTTGTTTATATTTGACGGGGTGACGTTTGGCCACTATCTCGCCTGATGGTAAGCGATGATGCGTTCTACAATGGAGCACGTCTGCCCGTTAGCATCTTATTCACTAGGGCCTTGAAGACACCCAGGTTATACCCTTCAGTAAACAGAAACTCTGGCAAAGAGTACTACTCCTTAGCAGTACGCACGAGCGGGTGACGCTTCGTCGATTGTCATGTGGTACGATGATTGAAACGACTAAGGAGAATCAAGTTATCGCGTTTTGCGTGCGCCTCAAAAAGCCATCAGACCGCCACAGATGGGGCCCAATAGGGCTGATGCCGATATGAAGCCGCAGAGGACTTGACGGGTTGCCAGGACTTCGGTTCGAAGGGCAGGAGTTGGAACGGGGTGGTTTTTAGTCAGTAAGAGTCTGACATCTCTCTTGCCTCACCCAGGCGGGAGGAGACAGTCGATGAATTTTCCCGCTTAAAAAAATGGGGAATCAAGTTGTCTTATTCCACTATGTATTACATAGGTTAGGTAAACTTTTCTAATAAAAACCTTTTTTATAGCAGTGTTGTAGCTAAAATAGTATGAGAGGGTTAATAAATTACGCGCCTCAGTGCTGATATGTCCCGTAGTCCATTAAACTAGCGGCAAACTGCCAACCGACTGCATGCCAAAATAAGTGCAATGTTACTAGATAAGTACAGACTATTATGTTTTTATTTACATAGATACCTTGTTTTATTACCTACTGGAACATATTTTTGACAATTGCTGTGACAATATGGTATTATCGTTGTGGATAATATTAGGTGTGACATCAAGGGGGGACATCATATCAAGGGGGGGGGGGCTGTAATTGGGCCTCCGGTAACCTTACTCACACGACGAAGCATAACGCAAGCGTTGCTTCACGTCGGTTTTCTGTGAGGCCGTGGTGTCACTCAGGTTGAGACGGCTCATTCGTGCCGAAGCATGACTCTGCCACTCTTACAAAAAATTAAAATGATAAACTATCTACGGATAGTTAGTTAAATAAGGTACACCTTCTTTACGTAAATAAATAATTTTTGGATTTGAATTTTGAATAATTACCTATCTACTATAAATAATAATAGGTACTCTTGATTTTAAGCTATCTCCCCACCAATTTTCAGTCAAATCTATAAGGCCGTTTATGAGTTATAAATACTGTATTATTAAATTAAATTTTAGTATTCCATAAATTAAATTTTTGATTTTTTTTTTGTGGAATGCATAGTTACTTTCTGTAATCTGCCTGTCATCTTTTGTCGTCAACTGGTAAATGAAAAGCTCACTAATGTATATTCAATACGAAATAGAAACTTATTAATGAATAATTCATTATAAACAATAAGTGAAATTATCATTATTACAAATTCTAAACGAAAATATTTCATTAAAATCATTTCTATCGACGCTAAGCACCAACCTACGAAATTCATTTCAATAGAAAAAATATCTTTTTCGGAACGTATTCACAGTCTGTTTCAATTATACCTTAATTGCATTGTCAGCAATTTAATTAAACGTTTATTGTTAGCTCACGGTAGCTTTAAGGGCGTTTTCACACAATTTACACTGACGTACTACGGTAAGAAGGTTTGTCTCACTCAGCCTTAATAGCGTGATAAAGTGTAAGCCACAATATTTTACCCTGATTTACGTTTCACGCTAAATACTTGAGCCTCAAGTGTTTGGAATTACAATTTAGTATAATCAATGTCATGGGCATGAGATCTTGGTATTCCATACTTTGATTTTGTCGATTAAGTTACGTTTAAGTAGCAGATATTTTATACGTAATACAATTTTAAACGTCAATAACTCTGACTGAACAAAAAGAGGGATTTAAAACTGTTTTTCAAGACCCTACAACGAGCAGAAATGAACATCCATTTTTATTTTCAAATCCGAAAAGTGTTCTAAACGCCATATTTGTTAGAAAAACCGTTACTTTCAAAGCAAACTCTACGTTTATTGGACAAAAAAGGATCTAGCTGGCATGTTGTTATCCTAACAGCCTAGTACAAAAACTTTATTCGTTAGGCAATATAAACAAAACCTTGTGATAGGTACGCAGCTAACAAACTAGGTCATCTGAATTTGTTCTATCGAAACTGGCGTGTATTACCAATATCACGCCAGTTTTCCTAACATGGGGAACTGGATATATAGTATTTTGTAATATTAATGTGAAAACAGATAAATCTATCATCAACCAACTTATGATATGAAGTAACTCCTAATATAAAATTAATTGTTTTGCGTTTGTAATGTGTCGTTGTAGTTCTGTTAACTTGAATACTCCTGGTACAGTGATTTCATATCATACGGAGTCGCGGAGAACCTAACGGGTTACCGAGGCTCCAGCTCAAAGTGCAGGAGTAGGAACGGGGTGGTTTTTAGTCAGTAACAGTCTGACACTCCCTCCTGCCTCACCCAGACGGGAGCAGTCATTCGATAATTTTCCCCTCCTTAATAAAAAGATTTCATATCATAAGCAAAATACTTAGAATTGTGTACAACTAGTTGACCCGGCAAACTTCGTACTGTCTAAAAATGCCTAATGCCTAAAACATAGAAGCCACACATTCCAATATTAGCAACGAAAAAAAAAAACATTCAATTCAAAAAACACAGTCTTTTAAAGATGCGCGCGAAAATCAACACCGCCATATTAGTTTAATATAAAAAAATAGCATAAGAGCGCAAGTAAACGTGTGCAGTGTGTTCCAACGATAAGCCTCGTCGTCCCACTCATTTGATTTACTGCGAGACTCGACAAACAGCTCCAGACTTGCGCGGATAAATTCACCTTCATGAGTTCTGAGGGCTTAGTACAAGGTTTTTTTTACACTTGACGAGATCGAAATGTTACTGCGTTCGGCGTTCTGATTGGCCAACTCCAACGAATCAACCAATCAGAGGGCTAAGCGCGGTAACGTTAAACATAAAAAAAAACTCGTATTAGGCCCTCAGCTCTCAACTTGCGTGGATAAATTCGCCTTCATGAGTTCTGTGACACAGCTTCACAGGTGTGTCATACGCTTCTTTTGCACTATTTCTTTTAGGATTTCTGGAGTTTAAGTGGGTAAGATTATTTAGGATTTGTTGTTACACTTTTGGGAGCTTTTTGTGAGTTTTGCTGCATTGCGAGTGGAAGTTAGGATTTTTAAAAAGTGACGCAGAAGTATGCCTTATAGTTTTTCTCCAAAATTAAGGATTCTTCAAATTTCTCCAAAGGTCTGTAAATATTTGCAAGTAAAATACTTCGTGCACCCTGTTGAGACATAAGGTGACTGGGTAAAGGCGCTCCCTTTTTAATCGAAAGTTTTTATTTAACCGAAGAGGCCCTTAAAAATGGGTTACCAGAAAAACATACATTTATTTTTAAACCAATCCAATTTGAAGAAAAATAAACTTTGAAGAAAAAGAAATACCCGTTTTTATAAAAATAAACATACAAATGCCATGGTGCTATTTTCACTTCTTATCAACTTCAGGATTTGGCAGAAAACCAACAAAGAATCAAATTTTTACACGGTCCTTAAATACAAAAATAACTGTAGGTAGGTGCGTGGCGTGGGTATTTGTGGAACCACGATTTGTGTTTGTAAACGCCTACGATACAGAACAGATTCCATTTGGTACAATCATGGCAAAATCGTGGGTACATTTTTTAAAAACCAACAAAAGTTTCTTGGTTCAAACAAACTTCTTGGTTCTTTGATTCTCTATGCTTCAAAAAATAAAAATCATTGTCATATTTGGCAGTCATATTAATTTTTATATTGCCGTTAATTGGCATTATGTACTCAATTTTTTACCTTATATTTTACAAGATTTACACTTTTTTTTCTATTTACACCTTTTTTAGTGTATTTTGAAACCTTTTCCATAAAATGGATGTATACGGGGAGATTTTTATTCTCGAGAAGATACCACAGGCGGCGCCACGTTTGGACTACTTGAATATACGATGCGGGGCGAGACTCATTGCTATACTTGGAATTGTGAGAATGCCTATTTGATAATTTCGTCTTATCTTGAAGCGTAAACGTTGTCTGTAGAACAAAAGGCTCGTTTTATGGCGTCTTTGGACTGAAAATCTAGGATAATAGCTAGGCGGGGCTGACGTGGAACGTAGGTGGAAGTGTTTCATGCGTAAGCCCGATTTGGTTTTTGCCTTTGTTGAAGTTTTGTTTAGTAAACGTTTCACTTTGTCTCCTTGGGAACAGTTCTAAGAAATACATGTATATTCCGGAGCAAAAAGTTGTTGCGGCGTTTTGCAAAGGAATTGTAATGTTTTGTAACAATTTCCTTAAGTCGTTCTAATGACACAGTAGAAATTAACTCCAACGTTTTGACATGGTATGTATGTTGATATATTATTTATGAAGAAGGATATTAATGCACTCAATATATATAAACCTATTAACATGTTAATACATAGGTATTCTATTGATAGAGTTTTAATTAATAGAAAGGGTTTTTTGAATTGTGTCTAAAGTTAGTGAAGAGTAAAGACTACCTCGTTGGCCGCGTGGTCGCAAGTGCGACTGCCAGGCAAGAGGTCTAGGGTGCAATTCGCGGGTCGAGCAAAGTATTACTGAGTTTAAAAAAATCTTAATCCAGCACGGAGTCTGGGATATGGCAATAGGCTCATCCCCCTATTATGAGACTCATAACTTAAATAGTAAAAAGTGGCATGTGCACCTCTGCCTGCTCCTTCGGAGGTAAAAGGCGTGATGTTATGTTATGTGTAAAGTTAGCCAGGTTTAATTTGATAAGACAAATCTCACATCTAGCCCAACCTTATACAAAAAAGCCTACTATCAGTTTTACCAGATTTTAGTGTTTTTTTTAAGGGTGGAAAATCATCGAATGATTTCTCCCGCCTGGGTGAGGCGGAAGGGAGTGTCAGACTCTTACTGACTAAAAACCACCCCGTTCCTTCTCCTGGACGTCGAGCCGGAGCCCCGGTTACCCGTTAGGTTCTCCTACCAGATTTTAGTATAGCTATGTATTCATATTCCTAAACAAAACTTCACAGATAATCTGGGCTATCCACATTGTTAACTCTCACCTGAGTTTAAGGCTCAGTACACACAAATTGATACTTGATCCGATATGCATTGCTTGTAAAATATTAATTGGATTCCAAACGAACGTTACTTCGGGGTCTGTACCTGGATTAATAAATTACAGGTAACCTAAAACCGATGTATTAAATGGTTATGAATGTTTTAGATAATGTAAAAAAGGCTAGCTTAGTGTTAATGAAAATATTTCTGTCAAGAATTACAAGACGCAGTTCGTTTCAAGGTTGTTAGGTAAAAATTTATTACAATATTGTGTTGCTTTGTACATTATTATTATAGAGTTATATCAAAAAATCGGGCCCAAGAAGGCGAGCATGGGTAGGTCGCTGTCTGACTAGAATCAGAGTCGAGCGTACGGTGCGTCGCGTTTCGCACGCGCCTCAAAGAGCCATCAGACCACCACAGAGCCACAGAGAACGTACGTATCTGGTTCCAGCTCGAAGTGCAGGAGTAGGAACGGGGTGGTTTTTAGTCAGTAAGAGTTTTTTTTTTAATAAAATTACTAAGAGACATTTTACATAGGTGTGGCCTTAAATGTAAACTCGTCAAAATTACACGTTTGATGACGAGTCTGACACTCCCTCCTGCCTCACCCAACGGGAGAAGTCATTGGATGACTATATTTCCCCTTATCATCATTATATACCCTTAAAAAATGACATAAAATATAAGCACTACGTATGCTTTAGGGTCGGTTATACGCTCTTGACATTTCAGACTATCTGCCGATTCGCAGTCATATATTTGAAATTAAAAAAAAAACCTTTGGAAACAATCGTCCTACAAAACAGTGCAACAAGACTTGACTCAGTATTATTTTCAGTGACACGGTCCTGACAATTAATCAATAGGTTGTGTTTAATTTATTTACAACAATAATAAAGTTACGGTTCAATGAACTATTAACGTTAGAGCTTATAACTTAACAGCAAACATGTGCACACATTCTGTTGTTGATATTAATAAAATTCTTAGAACTTCGGTTTATTAGCAAATAATTCTTCAATACTAAAATATTTCGCAAACGAATTGTAGAGAAAAATTCAATTCGAAATATCTTTGATATAATTTCTAAGAAAATGTTTATTTTAGATTTTGTTTTCTAACTCTTTCGAACAAAGTCCTTTGTGGCAACGACCCAGCTTTGAAAGTGCTACTTGTGCATATATTTTAAGTTTTGTTATCTTATAACTTGGCTTACACTTACACTGCGCTATGAATTTCGATTTTTGATCTCTTACTGAGGTGGACCCTACAAGAGTAAATGACTAAATTTCACTTTAAGACTTTGACTGCCAATAAAAAACTGTTGAAGGCAAATCCTCCGCTAACGCCGGTCACCGATGACCCCCATGGCGTTTAACGTGTTAAAGTCTGTCTGGTAGATTATTTCAAAACATTAGACAAGTATTTTCAATGTGACGTCACTTCTAGGTACGTTTCATACCTAGAAATGACGTAGCTAGCCCCCACTCACTACAATTTGATTCGTTTTAAATAAGTATTGTTTTTCTTATAGGACAAAATAAAAAAAAATGTGTCTAATATTTTTCATTACCTAAGTGACGGACTAAATTGATTTTTTTTTTCATATCTCAATATCATCCCCATTGCTACACTTAGAGGTATTATAAGTTAGTTTTAGTGTCCATCTCTTACTTGACTTTTCTCAATATTTGACTAAAAACTATTGTTATTTTAATGTCTTGTATAATTTACCTGTATTTAGAAGTATGCACCATTACCAATATTTTTTAGAGATGTTTGTCTTGAGAATCTTTATATATACATATAATTCTGCTGTGAGTGTGTATGTCACTGAACTTCTCTCAAACGGCTGGACCGATATTGATGAAATTTTTTGTGTGTGTTCAAGGGGATCTAGGAATGGTTTAGATTCACAAATCAGCCCGGCAGATGGCGGTGCAGTCGATGTCTAGGTTATTTTATCCTAAACGGCTGAACTAATTTGAATGAATTTTTGTTTATACATTCACGTGGATATACAGGACAACGTCTGTCGGGTCCGTTAGTATTATATAAAACAAATAAAGTTGATAATATTTATGGAATTGAATACAAAGATAGGTCACAATGGTAGCAAAAGTTATTTATGAAGCGCATCCCGCTCGAGACTGCTTTTGATGACAAACAGTTTTGAAGATGTCCGTCGTTGCTAATTTCAGACGTTATGGACTGACTATTTTTGTTCTAACTGCCTCGTTGGCCAAGTGGTCACAAGTGCGACTGCCCGGCAAAATATTAACGGGTTGCCAGGGCTCCAGCTCGAAGGGCAGGAGTAGGAACGGGGTGGTTTTTAGTCAGTAAGAGTCTGACACTCCCTCCCGCCTCACCCGGACGGAAGAAGTCATTGGATGATTTCCCCCCTCAAAAAAAAGGCAAAGTATTACTGGGTTTATCAAAATTCTCAGTAGTAGCACGGGGTCTGATAAATAGTGAAAAGTGGGTGTTACATTGTACAGTGGCATAATGTGCACCTCTGCCTACCCCTTCGAGGATAAAAGGTGTGATGGTATATTATGTTAATGTTAAATTTTTGGTCTATCATATTTTTAGTTAAGTCTTCTTTTTAATACTTATTAAGAAATTAATGGACTGTCATACGGATGGAAATAGACATTAAGTTATTCAGTCAGTTAGTAGCATAGTTAACTTCTCCCAGCGGCTTCACAGGCGATACGTAGCCTGGTTGTTATTGCAGACCATACTTAATATGTTTCAAATTTCATCCCGATACCTTTAGCCGAAGGACTCACAAACAAACATATATACTTTCGCATTTATAACATTAGTAAAATTACAAACTGTTAACGCCAGAATACTGAAAGGCTACTCAATTTTAAGTTATACTAAAATATCGTGCCATCACTGTCGTTTTACAAAGAATTTGTGGTGACAGAACTATACTTAAGCGCGACTTAAAATAATAAATAAAATATCTAGACTTAGCTCAAGATGTTGTCGACATGTAGAGTGTGATGGTATATTATGTTACACGACTTTCGAGTCGTGTCGATCCACAATGAATGCCTTTCTCAAAAAAAAACTATTACAACTATTGTAATCAATAGGTTTGATTCATATATTAGTACTAACAGTTCTTTTATGTTCTTTGTTTCAGTTGTTCGGCGTCACAATATCAACAATGTTACTAATAAAGGACAGAAAAAACTTGACGCCATCCACGTTGATATTAGTCGTGTTCCTGTCAATATTTGTTATCGTCACAATCATGTTTGTCTTGACTTCTGTCCTGCTATTAATGGCCGCCCTAGATGTGAGTATTATTGTATTGTATCATGCACATATGAAAGACTTATTTGAGTACATTGTCAATTTGGACTGCCTCGTTGGCCGAGTGGTCGCAATTGCGGCTGCCGGGTAAGGGGTCTCGGGTTCGATTCCCGGGTCGGGCAAAGTATTACTGGATTTAAAAAAAAATCTCAGTAGTAGCACGGAGTCTGGAACTTTGCCCGGTATATGGCAATAGGCTCACCCCCTATTACATGGGACTCATAACATAAATAGTGAAAAGTGGGTGTTACATTGTACAGTGGTATAATGTGCACCTCTGCCTACCCCTTCGAGGATAAAAGGCGTGATGTTATGTTATATGTCAATTTGTAATGTAGGAAAAATTTTAGGTTAATAACCGATTTCACTAACCATCTTTTAACTAATAGTGACTTTGCGTGAGGTACCTAAACTTACACGTTATTTGTACTGTAAGATGTCACTTATAGGTTGGAAAAACCCAAAAATTTCGTTAATTGTCACCTATCTTAGCTTAGGGGTTCCTTAAAATTAAAAAGAGGTTGGTGAAAACAGACGTGAGAATACTCAAGGACATACCCAAAATAGCTAAAACTCGCTTTAAGTCTCAAAAATGCTAGTGATTACTTTCTAATATTGTTTTTTCCCTCTCAGGAGAATCCCGACCTAATGTCCTATTACATTTGGTTGAGTATTGTGTACCTCTGTATACAATTAGTGCTTGCTATCATAATACCACTGCTGTTGATAGTCGAGGGTCGGTATCCACCAGTTATTGCACTTATATGGATGGTCATCGTCATGATTGTGGGTCTAGGTAAGTTTCAATAGGACTTTATAGTGTACAATAATCACAATAGTGCAAGTGGAGTGATATTCGCCATCGACAGCCCGTAATAGTACTCGTAATAGTGTCGTGGTGGCCCGGAGGTTTAAGACGCCCACTTCTCATGCATGAGGGTGCGGGTTCGAAACCTACCAACGGCAAGTACCAATGTGACTTTTTCCGAGTTATATGTACTTTCTAAGATTATTTAGACACCACTGACAAACGGTGAAGGAAAAACATTGTGAGGAAACCTGGACTTATAATTTCTAATTATAAGTTTGAAATCGCCAACCTGCATTGAGCAAGCGTGGTGATTAATGGTCTAACCTTCTCCGTGTGAGAAGAGGCTTTGCTCAGCAGTGGGCATTTATAGGCTGTTGATGATGAATAGTACCCCCTCTACGTCATTTATTTATTTATAAATAAGCACATAGATAATTTTACAGCACAAGCTAAAACATTATACTGTTAAACAATAAAATATATTACTTATTTACTATTTTACACTTATGTAATAGGTCTATTATATAAAAAGTACAATAATTATGCTATACAACGTGTTTATATCGTTTTCGTCCCGAAGTAAAATGGTTCTGTGTAATTCAATTGAAATAAAATGTTTGAAACAAAAAATAACTAATGAACCATTGTAAAAAGCGCATCACGCAATTTATTACTCGGCGGACGGCAAGTGCGATGCAAATAGTGCCAACAAAGTTACATCTAGTGTTTCATGTGCGTAAGTTAATAAACATTTTTTGTTTTTATAATAACTATCGTGAGACATGCTAAATTAACTAAAATCGCGGGTTACTCACGTGAATATACTGAGAAAAGTTCTACTGGTTTCGAACCATAGAGGGGTTCTTCTTCATGAGCAGCTTGCGCGGTCGCGGCGATGTGTCAGTTGGCTGCGCGACATCGACAACTAGTAGAGCTTTTCTCAATATATTCACGTGAGTAACCCGCGATTTTTAGTTAATGAACATTTTGTTAACGAAAATTTATAATTTTTACTTTATATACATCGAATGTAGGTACTCAACTTTATGGCAAGTTGATTCCGCGGGACGAAAACGAAATAAATTTCATGGTGTAGCTAGTTACGTTATATCGTATAACCTCCATGCTTGGCAGTCGGGTTACCATAGCAATTTAAAAGGTTTATCAAAGAGTGATCAAGATGTTGATAATTGGTGAAGAAAATTAAAAATCTAATTAGTCCGTAATATAAGACCCCTTATTTGTATTTTGTCGTGTAATAAGACAATACTTAGATAAAACGAAATCAAAGTTATGGAGTGGGGGCTAAAACGTCATTTCTACGTATAAAATGTACATAGTAGTGACGTCACACGACATTTCAAATCAACATATCGTCGAAATAATTCGTTATTAAAAAATCGTAAATAAAAATACGTGTCTAATAATTTAAAATAGATAATCTACCAGACGAACATTAAAACTAAAATTAGGCATCTACCCTATTATCTCTATCAAAATTATATCTCTGACTTGACTCTGACAAAACATGACTTCATCGATAAATCAAATTAACAATTTTTAATTGTGTTATATAACAATGTTAATTATACGTTTTTATATTAAGTGACAACATTATCGCATTGGGTGTAACCTGTTAGGATGTGTTGAATTAAATAAATAAATAAAATAAATAAGTAAAATTAGTTTTTGATACACGATTCGTTTCATACAATAAAAAAACCGTACAAAAAAGAGTGAAACGTGTATCTTTCTCTCTGTCCCATTTTCGCTTCAAATGTGATAACGTCAGAGTCCATATTGGACTATATTTTTTTATTTGCCAGTTACCATTATCCTTATCTTACCCTTATATGGTACTTAGCACAATATTTGAAAGGATTTCGTCCAGTTTTGAGTGTATGTGAGAGTAATAACTGCCTCCTTCTGAATGCGTTTGTAGACAAGTGATCGCAAATGTGATTGCAGAGCATAAGGTCCCGTGATAATATCCGGGTTGAAGAAATAATGTAGTATTACACATAATTTTTATGTTTTCGAATGTGTTTTAATGTTTCGTTTTCGAAAATCTTATATATACCTATAAAAATCAATCCCTTTTTCTCTTGGTCACGGCATCACGCGTGAATGGGCGGACCGATTTCACTAATTCTTTTTTTGTTGTTTTTGTTATTATTAGGAAAAGGTTCTTAAGACATAAATATCCTGAAAATCTTACGGGAACGGGAGAAAATGGGATTGCGCGTACGAAGTCGCTGGCAGAACTTAGTAATCAATAAAACAGTAGGTAGTTGTGAATGGGGCCTAGTGTATGACAAAATAATAATGTAGAGCGCTACATAAAATAGAACTCATTACTTGATCAGTAAAAAATAACACTTAATAGCGAGCATTTTATACCATTTTAAAGAAAAGTCTCAGCAATCTAATATTTCATTAATCAGGAAATACTATAAATACATTATTTAACCTAAAAATACCCTAGCCTAATAAATGCTAAAATATCGTTTTATATTCATAATACGAAATCCCTTTTTGATCTCGTAAAATGGATGGTCGAAATATTTTAATTAACAATTTAAAAATTCATTTAGTTTCGTGGACCTAATACCTATACCTAAGGGTGCGTACACATCTGGCGAATGCGCAACGAATATGCCGCTCGCGAGCCGCTTGCGAGCCACCCACGAGCTGCGCGCGTGCATTTATAATTATTATTTATACGAACCTTGTATGAGTTCAGCACCAAACTATTGCCGTGATTACACGCGCGCAGCTCGCGGACAGCCCACAAGCGGCTCGCGAGCGGCACATTCACCAGATGTGTACATACCCTAATATCTAGAAGATTTCTATAATAAAACGTATTTCATTTGTTTCAGGGTGGACGCATTTTATATCTGTGGTCAGCTCATACAGATTGAGTCTTCTAAGTTCAAGTCAATTTTAATACACTATACATCGAATTTTGTGTTTTATTTTTATCTTAACTCTTTGAGTACCGTCATTATAGACACAATTAACGAACAATAGGTTGCGGTCACCGGTGACAGCTCGGTGTTTGACAGTTTAAGACTGCTTAAAGAATTGGTATGTTACTTGTAACTCGAAAATGCGTAGTAATCAACGTATCTGATAGCTGTTGGCTACTGCTGGATTATTTGGCTGATGTTAGTGACGACATCGACGTCTACGTCGGGTTAATAAAGTATAAGGATCACTTATGTCTGGTCTTTGTCAGTATGTAGTCGCTTCGTCAGATTTTTATAGTACCCAGTTGGGAAAAACAAGTCATATTATGAATTAAATGAATAATAACAAACAACAATTGAGATAGTAACATACAAAATAACCTCCAAAAACTTAAAGTCTCGAAAATGTTCAGATCAAAAATAAATCTTTGTAAAAGCAACGAGGACGTACTTACAGACAGAATAACTCTTGCTATGTGTGGTAAGACATATTATCGAGCAGACCCATCCCCACTCTTGACAGATAGCCACCTTCGTCAAGTGTTTATTGGCCTGAGCTCAGATCTTCAACGGAGGTCCCAAAGTAAAAGAAAGCTTTTCTTTGCTCAGGATTTTTCGTCTGATTTTATTATTTGGGCATTTTCGTTATTGTTATTAAAATGAGTTAATATAAGATTTTTTGTTGAAGATAAAGTTATATAACATTGTATTAATAAATATAAATGTTAAGTAAAATTATAATGTAAGGCGTGGGGTCTATTCAAGATACCTCAAACATTTTTTTTTACTCGTAAAAATTAGCTATAAATCTGATATGCACTTGCAAAATCAGCATAATTTAATAAAAAGAGCCGTTATAAATGTTTGAAAAAAATAATATAACGAAAAACGAACCTAATAATAACCTGTACAAATGGTGTACTTATAAAAAATGTTTTACTCCCTATTACAAGGGACTCATAGTCATATGTTTGGGAGAGCCATCCTTCGGCACTAATGGACCGGCTCGACCGGAGTGATACCATGGCCTCATAGAAAACCGATGTGAAACAACGCTTGCGTTGTGTTTTATCGTGTAATTGAGATTACCGGCGGCCAAATCATCTCCCCCATATGTAATGTTATGTATTATGGTGTGTAAAAATTTATTTATCTATTTAAAATCGGTAAGTATAAAAACCTATAAAACATCAAAACTCATAGCGTATCTCATTTGCTTCCCCAAAAACGACCAACATTGTACATAAAATTATCTTGTACCACACGCTAAAGCGCAGTCCACTATGGCATGTGGATTTTCAGGAATCTCGCGGGAGCCAACGCGAGCTTATTTATACTCTCCTGATTAAAGAGAGAGCGAGCGACCGAGTGTATGGTAAACAGGGTGTTTTATTTTCCACTTTATTTAGTTAAATGCTATGTAACGCTGGATGTAGTGCGGTAATACCCGTGATTTAAGTGCCGTATTTATGCATTGCTGTTTTATTTTAAGATTTTGTAGTCTTTTGAGTAAATTGAAGTAGCTTTTGTTCGAGTTTGTTGTAAAGATAGAATTGTTTGTTCGATGAATAATGTAAATTAAAGAAAAGTTATTTTTGAAATACTTCTTACGTACCATCTCTGTCTGTATTTTACAAAGAATTTTGTAGTGACAGAACTATAAATTAAGCGCGGGTTAGAATTGAGCAGTCCTTCAATATTCGGGCGCTAAGAATATTTTTCGACGTGACAAAGCACTGATATGACTGCAAAATACCTATAGTCTTTTAGGGTAACATATAAATTTATACCTTATTTTAATGACCTATAAATTAAAAACACAAGATCCCAAATATGTACGAGTACCTGTCTTTAAAACATTATTATTTCAGACCTTAAAAAAAGTATTAAAAGTATAGTATAATGATTCTAAATCTAAATTGTTTGCACATTTTAATGAGTATTAATTAAGTTTTTAGCCTGATTTATATCTTATAACTTTACTTAGACTTCATTAGACTAGTCTATTAAGGTATCCTTTATTAAAGGGCTTGGCCTTGGATTTCTTGGAAATTTCGTTTTCATATTGAAAATATTTAAAACTGATATTCTACTGACCTTAAAATGAGTTAAGTGGTGTATGTTCAAAGTCATATTGTTTATACTTAATTTTATACAAAACTTGGTTACAATTCTGACAATCACGTTGAATACCTATAGATGTGACTGTTAGCTTTAAAAGGAACTCAGTAGCATCGACAAACTGCAACTGGAACAATTTCAACAATTTTACTGGGATTTTTGCAAGTTAGAAAAAAATACAATAAAAATGTAGAATCACAACAATAAGACAAGTTTGTCACTTTTCATCGTTGTGTAAACCACATTACTAAATTGATGCCAATAACACTAACTCAAAACTCAAATGTATGTATAACAAACGTTGATAGATATATACCCCACAAGCGCTTCGCACAACTAACCGCATAACATAAAGGCCTTACGAACTTAAGCATGGTGGAGTAATTAACCAAATGTACAGATTTATGCATAACGAGGATGCGAAATTCACCTTTAATATCAAAGAGAATGTTCGTTAAATGAGTCGTCAACGATATTAATTCCGTCCCATTTCACGATAACAATCTGTTGCGTTGGTGTACCAATAAATTCAGGGGTGTCAACATAAACACTGATTTGATTTGATTTTTATTGTTTTGTTTTTTATTGTGGCTCTGGTTTTATTTGTCTGGGTGTGTCATTGTCATTAACAAAAACATTATTGGAGGCTGATGTAACACCTGTGTAATTGGAAATTGTAGGGAACATGTAAAATGATATATTTTTAGTTTAAACGATTGTCATAATCAAAAGAGTTTCTAGAATTTTACATGTAATATTCGACACAAAATGGGTATAGAATGATTCCATAAAAATAGCTGACACGGTGTACATTTATTTAATCAGTCATATTTTATTTCAAGTCCCTAAACGAAATCATTGTTATGTTTGGTTCTTATAAAAAATATACTTTTGATAAAAATACGACATGATCCACGCATTCATTTTTTTTAGATGAACTATATACATTTTTGTACGTATTTTTTGTTGATTTTTCTTTACGTTACCAAGAAAACAATTTGACTGTGACATTTTAGTTACTAAAAATATTATTTTTTAATAATAAATTTTTCATTCCAACCCTTTTGTACAGTTTGTTAATAATTCATCCGAACTGTACAAAAAATGAATAAATGTATTATGAAATACAAGTGACAGCCCTACACACATAGGAAGTAAGGTTGCGTGTAATGAAAGTTATTTGTTTTCATTGATATTCGGATTCATTAAGCCGAACTACTCACTATCTTTGAATTAATAGCAAACATTTACATATATATGTTGGAAATTCAGTTCTAAGCTTAATATCTTTGTGAATATTATTGTTAATGAGTGTTTTAAGTAAATATTATAGTACTACCTATAACTGAGATTCCGTGTATGGGGACGTTTGCTGTTATTTAAGGAAGATGCCTGCCGTGGAAATGTTAATAACTTACAATATTAATTTTGTTTATGTAGTGTTCCATAGCAGTCTTAAATATTTTTAGAAATACACATAACATAACATCACGCCTTTTATCCCCGAAGGGGCTAGGCAGAGATGTAGGTACATTACGGCACTTTGCCCGACCCGGAATCGAACCCGAGACCCCTTGCCCGGCAGTCACACTTGTGACTACTCAGCCGACGAAGCATTTTAGAAATATTAAGTAAAATATACAATATTTTAGTAATAATAATAAGTTTACCAATATAATGATGATACTTGACAAAATCTGCGTAGGTAAATTCTTATTTTATTTTTATATGCTGTGATATGAATAAACGAGCAGACGGATCACCTGATGGTAAGCAATCGGTGTCGCCCATGGACATCTGGAACTCTAAGAGGCGTTACAAGTGCGTTACCCGCCGTTTGAGGATTAGGAATTTGAGGATTGTTGGGGATTCAGTGATTGAGGAGATTGGGGAGGGTAGTAACCTCGCTCACGTGACGAAACACATCGCAAACGTAGTTTCACGTCGATTTTCTGTAAGGCCGTGGTATTAATCCGGTCGAGCCGGTCCATTCGTGCCGAAGCATGTCCCACACTTAAAAATGTTAATATCTTAATGTTCAAATGTCAAAAATTTATGTCAGTAGAATTATATTATTGTGTTAAAAACCATAGAATAAAAAATAGTAATAGACAGAACGAAATAAACATGTTACACATCTATACCGCCTATATTTACTCTATACTCTGTATTTCTGTGTAGTGTGTACCTCAATATTACTAAACACAAACTAATAGGACTAAAGGAAGATTTAAACACAATGTTAGTTGTGTCTCGCTTCGCTCTCTATTATGGTATTCTACGAAATAATTTCCGAACTCAGTATAGAGAAACATAAGTACATATATGGACTTTGTGAATGTTCTGATGTAAGGTCGCAGACTACATTGAGATTATTTATTTATTTATTGAATTAGGGATTATAAGGGCATATCATTAAGGAGATAAAAGCTGTAGGTAGTTTTTTTTCTTCTATGACAATTGACTGTAGGTAGTTTGAAAATTGAAAATGAGTCAGCATTTTCTCGAAAATGGCAAGCTTAAGATTCACAATCAACGTAGAAATCTGTTAACACTTACATGAAAGACCGAAATAATCTTGGTAATAAAATAATATTGCCTTATTTTTTTATTTACTTAGAAGATGCAATGAAAGGACAAAGGTCTCAACTCACATAATGAGATACAGGCAAGGATTTCGATGACAGATCCTCATGTGTATTTCTAAATATTATATTACAGTTCTATTGTACTGAAACGTTACTCAATTTTAAGTCGCGCTTAAGTATAGTTCTGTCACCACTACTTCTTTGTAAAAGACAAGATGGCACGATATTTAACCACGACTTAAAATTGAGTAACGTTTTAGTATTCTGGC